ATAAAAAGACAGTATATGTCATTATAATCCGTAATTATGTCCCCACTGGATGCAACAAATGCCTCGTTTTTTTTAATGGGTTTTAATGTTTTTGTCTCGTCGCTCCGGCCGGACAGGGCATCATCACAGTATGGTGAGGGGTGTAACATTTCAGTCACACGCTTGAGGTATTCGGCCAATCACAACGCACTGGATAGCTGGCCAATCACAGCACACCTCGCTTTTCAGAACGATGAGCTTTGTAAAAATCGGCGCGTTTCAGAAAGGCGGGGCATAGAGGAGAAACAATAATGTACAGTATGTGGAAAATAATGTGTTTTTTGAACCTTAAACAACATAAACCCATTTTATTACACCAAATACACAAAATAATGTTCTTTTTAGCAACATGTGACCCCTTTAATAAGACCACTTGCTATTTATGTTCAGACCAAAGTGAAAATCGACCCATATGCAGAGAAAAAAGTTGTAAATGTGAACTGGTGGATCGACAAGAAGCTAATGCTAAAGCATTATAAAAATATAAACACTTAAGACATTAAGATATATTTGTTATTTTATATAATAAATGATTGATAATAAATTAATATAAGAATTGATACTTTTGTCTCCTCTCTTAAAAATGGTTTAAAGGCTGAAATGTGAAGTTTATAATTTTATAAAACTTTGTGAAAACCTGTATGTGAACTGTAAATCATACTTTTTACAGTCGTTTTACAGTTTAATGTTAACAGAGACATTACCCTACCCCACTCATATGGTTTTAATTTTATTTGTGCAGGTCTTGGATGTCTTTTTAAAAAATCCTGCAGGTACCCTGATATAGTGACGCAGTAGATGCTGAAAACACCACACACGTGTGTTTGAGATTGTGTAAACCATGCCACTTATTCACACACAGTAGCTTAAAAGTGGTCTTTTTGCGGTTTATTAGTCACAGGCACTAGTTCATATCTCCGAGTACAGCCCTAATTTTGATTCATTTATCCTAAATTTGCCAAATTCACTTGACATTCCGTGTTCTGTAGCTAGTTCCATTGTTCTGACTGGATTCCATCTGTGTTTGGTTGCATTGGTTCGTCTCTGTTCTGTCCATCAGGGTCCCCCCGGTCCTCCGGGCACAGGCATGCCTCCAGGTGGGCGTGGCAGGGGGCGTGGCCCAGGAAACTGGGGCCCACCCGGCGGTGAGATGACCTTTTCAATCCCCGCCCATAAATGCGGTCTGGTGATCGGCCGAGGTGGCGAGAATGTGAAAGCCATCAACCAGCAGACGGGCGCCTTCGTGGAGATCTCGCGCCAGCCGCCGCCCAACGGTGACCCCAACTTCAAACTGTTTATCATCCGGGGATCTCCTCAGCAGATCGACCACGCCAAACAGCTGATCGAGGACAAGATCGAGGTACAATAAACACCACTTTTGTGTTCATCTTGATGTGTTCGCTGGTTTTAACTGGTCTGCTTCTCCTCGTAGGGTCCCCTGTGCCCTGTTGGACCTGGACCGGGCGGGCCGGGCCCCGCTGGACCCATGGGCCCCTACAACCCGAACCCCTACCAGCCCGGACCCCCTGGTGGACCACCACAGTCAGTAGTGCTTTAATGGGAAACCCGCTTCAGGGAAAGGGTTAATGTTTGACTTTGCAGGTTTTGTTTGCACGTTCACAGTCGTTCTGTCTGTGTCTCCAGCGGTGGTCCTCCTGGCGGTCAGTATCCTCAGGGTTGGGGAAGCACATACCAGCAGTGGCAGCCACATGATCCCAGTGAGTTGATTTGTACTGATGCTTTCAGTGCTTGTGTGTTAAAGTCTTGATAGGATTATAGCACATAATAAAAGTACTTGAGTACCTTATGCTACTACAGTCACATGACTGTTCAAGTTCTAATGGTCAGGTCACATTGCATCCTGAAGTCATTTTTTTTTATTTTTATAAAATGTACAAAATACTGATTAAAATAGTCTGACAAATACTACCATTATTATACAGGCATTTAAAAAAAATACATTCAAATTAAAGATTTGAGGTCAGTAAACATTTTATGTTTTTGAAAGGTCTCTTCTACTCACCAAGGCTGCATTTGATCAAAAATGCTTTTTAAAAAATAATATTTTTTTAATGTTACATTTTAAAATAATTATTTTCTTTTGTAGTATATTTTAAAGTATAATTTATTCCTGTGATCAGCAGTGAATTTTCAAAACAGCTTGAAACATTTGTCTAAAACTTTTTTTTTTTTTTTTTTTTTTTTTGTAAAGGGG